GCGCGGGCGCCGGCCGGGCGGGAGACGCGGCGGGGGAGGGGAGCGAGTCCCCGGAGTCCTGAGAGAGCCGGAGCGCCTGACGAAGGCTGACGCCTCAGTTACCGTGAAATAGCTACTCTCCCCGGGCCACCGCACTGACCTTTCGAACCTGGGGACCTGTATTCTATGTGACCACTGAAAATAATCTCCCTGGTCGCCGTGTGGAGTTACTCCGAGGAGAGGCCTTCTGGGTGGCCTCGCCGTCCGCACGTGCTGTGAGCTCTCCGCCCAGGGCGGGCGTTTCTCCTGCTCTGAAACGGTCCTGTTTTCTCCAGAAGGTCGAGGGCCTCAGGAGACCGGTGTATCCCAAGCGCCTGGAACGTGGGTCATTGCAAAGCTTAGTGATTCCGGCAGGAACGAAGAAGGAAAGTCGTCATTATTTAATTTCTCGTTGAGTTTTGTCGTAGGTTTTACAGGTAAGTTGTGGGGAGAGACTGGAACTCTAAAGACACCAATGATTAATGAGTTGTAAACGTTAGGTGTGTCTCAGGAGGTGCTCTGTGGTCTCACGATTTTGCACATCTTGTGAACTGAGGCACTGACTGCTTTTGTTCTGCACTATTACGATGGTGAATTTTACGTACCAACAAGGCTAGGCTGTGGCATCCAGTTTTTGGCCAAATGTCAGTTGTAATGTCTTTTTCTGTGAAGATGTTTTTAGGTGTGACTAATTGTTAAAGCAGGATACTCCGAATGAAGCAGACGACCCTGCACATTGTGGGTGGGCCTCGTGCAATCAGTTGAAGGCCTTAAGAATGAAGAAGAGGAGGAACCTCTGCCCCAGATTACCTTGACACTTGAGACCAAGTCATCAGCTCTTCCGTGGGTCCCCAGCCTGCTTCTCTACTGTGCAGAATTTAAAGTGGACAACATTGCATGGGATAGTCCAATTCCTTAAGTTTCTTTCTACAGAAATATTCATCCCATTCGTTCTGTTTCTGTGGAGAACCCTAAAAGAACTCTTTAAGGATGACTATATAATGGACACTTTAGAAGTCTGAAATAAATGCTTCTCTTCCAAGCCAAAGGCAGGTTTGTTGGTGTCTGTACAATAAAGACAGTGTCTACCCCCTGGTCAAGCCTGGACCTGTTGGCTCCAGTACATTATAAAACACTGAAGTTTTATCCAGTCTTCCTGGAACATACCTGTAATACTAACACTCCAAGGGGCTGATGGAGGATCACAAGTTCAAGCCAAGCCTGGGCAGCTTAGTGACTTAGTGAAACTCTCAGAATTTTAAGAGGGGGAGCGGAAGCTGAGGATGTAGCTTAGTGTGAAAGACCCGGCTTCAATTCCCAGTACCTAAATAAATAAATAATAAATAAAATGTCGATGTTTCTTAAACGTGGGTATCTATGCCAGTGATACCCATTGCATGAGCAGCATCCACCTGGACTATCCCACTGGCACATGGCAGGCAATATGAAGCTCAGCTGCTTGCTGTGCTGTGCAGAATAAAGTTCTTTGTCTCTGATATGTGTGTTTTCATGTAACTATGCCAGCATTTATGTAACTATGTTAGGTTAGCTTGCTAGGTTGCAGGTAAGGTAAAATCTTACACAGTTCTAGCTAATATCAAGCTACTATGCCTAGGTCAGAACAGATGTTCAATAGATATTTGTTGAATTAGTTAGTGAACACTGTAGAGCTCTTGTTTCAAGTTACTGCAATTTGGTATGTAGAGACTTTTCATTCCTTTTAAGCTCCCCAGGCTATAAATGTCCAGAACCCTCAAGTTTTAAAAATTGGAAACAAATTCAAGTCCTTTCAACTTATTTATACAGGGAATTGGACCCAAGGCCTTCACACTGAGCTAATTCCCCAGCCTGTTTTTATTTTGAGAGAAAGCCTTGCTAAGTTGCCAGGGTGGGTTTAAAGTAGTGCTTCTCCTGCCTCAGCCTGGGATCACAGAGTACTAGGATTATAGACATGAGCCATCATGCCTGGCCTGGTTGTTCTTCAAACATACAGAATTACTTAGCCAGAGAGTGATCATCACCTTTTCATTCTAAGTATCATACTATAATGCAGCTGACAATTACTGAATATGTGCCTGTTATTACCAGACAAAATGCTGGGATCATATATTATTGTATTATTAAAATAAAAATTCATGGAGAATAAGGGTTTTTATTTTTTAATTCCAAATTGTATTTCTAGTATTTAGAAAAGTTCTTGATAGTAGTTGACCTTCAATAATCATTTATTGAATGAATTTTCAGGGCTGGGCTTGTCATGAATTACATATAAAGTTAGGAGGTAAATGGGAAGCAAGCAACAAGCTAGACCAAGTTAGCCTGGGACAAGCATCCCAAGTTAGACCTGAGTCGTGCAGTATAAAGCTAGTGCCATTTATTAATATGGAGAGCACTAGAGAGAAGCAGGTTTGGGAGCCAACATAAGTTTAGTTTTTGAACATACTCAGTTTCAAATGCCTGTAAAATGTTGAAATAGAGGTGTTGACTAGGCAACTGTATATATAAAGATGTGAAGTTCCATGATGAGATGCCATATGGGGATAGGCATTTGGGATTTACTGGCTCCTAAAATGAATGTGAGGCCTGTAGGTGAGTGAGAGTGCTTGGAAGGAGAAGGACATAGAGAAACAACAAAGAGGTCCTAGCACTGGAGCTTGGAAACACAATATTTAAAGATTTTTTTAGAAGCAGAATCCTCAGTGACTCACTTTAGTGGTCAGAGATATTGGAGCAAAATCAGGAAACTGAAAGCAATGGAAGTTAAGGGAAGTAAATGTGCCAAATAGGATGGAGTGCACCACCAAGTTGAATGCTTTTGAGAGGTCAAGTAAGTTAACTGTGTGTAGCGGTGTGAAGATCACTATGAAGTGAACAAGAGCTTTTTCAACAGAACAGAAGAAGCCTGATTGCACTGGGTTGAATAATAACTGGAAATTGCAGTAGTCCATTTTGTGTTACTACAATGAAATAGTTGAGGCAGGGTAACTTTGTGTAGAAAAGAGATTTTATTTTGGTTATAAGTTTGGAGACTGAAAAGTCCAAAGAGCATGGCACATGCTCTGGAGGGGCCTGTGGCAAATGGCAGACGTGTGAGTGGGAACATGAGATTACATTGTGACACAGAAAATCAGAGAGATTGGTAGGAACCAGGCTTATGTTTTTATAACAATGTTCTCATGAGAACTAGCCAGGGTTCTGAGAGAAACACCTTAATTCTTTGTGAGGGCACATAGCCAGGAGATCTAAGGGCCTCCCGTTAGCACATCTCTTAAAGGTTCCACACTGCTTTTCAACACTGTTTCTAAGACCAAGCTCTAACACATGAACCTTGGAATCCTCAAGATCACAAATCCTCAAAACACATCCAAGCCTTAGCAATGATGAGGAATTGACTAAATACTGAAACCCCAAGAAGACTGGCTATGGGAGGAGTAAAGATGCCACAGCGGTAGAAGGAGAGTGAGCACTACAGTTCTTTCTAAGATGGAAGGTATTAGTGCATGTTTTAACACTAAGGGAAATAATTTAGTACCAAGGAGCTGATACTGGAGAGGAGTGTGAGAGTGAAGGGGATGGAGGAGGTTTCCGGTTTGGGAAATATGGAAACAGTCTAGAATAAGCAAAGAAAAGGAAACACTAACTAGAGAAATGTAGAAATGAATATGTTGGGTGTTTGGATGCTTAGTTGACAGTGACAGCTATAAACTTATAGTAATGTTCATCTGCTCGGTGTCTGGTACACTTGTGGCCTCATTTTCTCCACTGGACCTTCATTAGGTACAGACATGGCAAAGGAAGAGGTAGAATTTACCATATTTATGAGAAATATGTTGAACAACTGCAAAAAAAGGACACAGGTAATGGGAGTTAAAATGGCAGACATGAAATTTAATACATATAATGAAGGATCTGAAATGAATGGGGCTAATACATAGGAAGTAGATGGAAGAGGCAGCTTAGAGGTAGTGACGCAGTCAGAAAAACAATTGCAATAGAGTCACTCCAGCAGACACAGTAGGCCTTTTGAACTGGTTATAGAAATGGCAATTTTGAGATGTCAACAAGGTCCAAGGTTTGATGATCATGTGGTCCAGAGGAAGTCACTTGAAATGAAGTCACTGAAATAAGTAGAGGGATACATTCCGAGCCATATGGCAAAGACAAGGGGAACAAGAGTGGTGTTGGGAAAAGTTTGAAAAAGCATATACAAATACATAGCTGCAGGTTTGCGAGAGGATGGAAAAGTTATGGAGAAACCACCAACCCTACCTCCTAACTTGGAGATCCCTGAGCTGAGAGTGCTTCAAGGCAAGTGGTGGCTTTGGAGGACATCCAATTTTATTTGTAAAAGCAGATATGGGGAGAATAATAGGGAAAAAAGTGGAAGGTGGGAGGAATCTGCTTATCATAGAGCAGGAATTCCAGTGGGCTTGAGGAGGAGTTGGGTCAGGATATTCTGCTGACCAGAATAACTTGCAGCCTGTGTAGAGCTGATACTCGTTCTAACAGAATTGTGTTCTAGCCTAAGGTAAGTTTCAGTAGCTCTACTTAAAGGAGTGACATTTCCATTTTTCATGCTCAGGTAGTGTAGCAGGCCCTCTGCTGTGGCTGGAAGCCAGGAACAAATGAGAACCAGCCTAGGGACATTTATTCAGCAGAAGGTCATGAAGAATAGGCACGGTCAATCTGGT